ATATATATATATTATTTATATATACATTATATATACATATATATATAATATATATATAAATAATATATTATATATATATATATATTATATATATATATATATATATATATATATATATATATATATATATATATATATTATTTAATCTTAAAAATGGTATATGTTGCTACTGGAGTAGCAACATATACCATTTTTAAGATTAAATAAATATTGCTCTACAAATTTTTGTATTGAGCACTCTTTAATCTACTGCAATAACAAAACTTTGTTATATATATATATATATATATATATATATATATATATATATATATATATATATATATATATATATATATATATATATATATATATATAAAAATATAGATAAATATATATATATATAGAGAGAGAGAGAGAGAGAGAGAGAGAGAGAGAGAGAGAGAGAGACTTTATTTATAGAGGATGACACTTGACAGTACGAATACTGATGACTCTGTGGTCCTCTGGAAACCTATGTGCCTAACCCACCCATGTCAACTTTCCCTGTGGGAGGAAACACGGAGTACCCGGAGAAAACCCACGACTTTCGGCAGAGCGTCGACTTTTACTTTTTTCACATGAGACCTGGGTTCGAGTCACATTGAGAAGTTCTCACTGAGATTCGAACCTGCCGCCTTAGAGGTGAAAGGCAAGTGCGCTAACCACTTCGCCACCGAAGCCCCTATATATATATATATATATATATATATATATATATATATATAACATATATATATATATATATATATATATATATATATATATATATATATATATATATATATATATATATATATATATATATATATATATATATATATATATATATATTTTAAACAAGTCTCTATACATGTAATCTACTTATATATACTTATGGCGTTGTACATATACCTCTTGCAACATTTCGTTTTTCTATCAGATTAGATAGCACACTTATTGATTTTGCTGACATGAAATGGCAACGTGGTGATATTAGCATAATTTTTAATGGAGAAGCTGAAGGTTTGTATTATAAGTATTTTATATAATACCTTATTGAATTCTGATCGTTTAATTGGCTGTTTATGGTCACGTGATATTGAATAGAAAATTCCATTTCCCAAGAGTGCAATGGAATACATTCCATTGCACTCTTGCGAGTGCAGTTGTACTATACGTTTTATTCCATTGCACTCTTTGTGTTTTCGATAAATCGCATCCGTCAAAATGCTTCTCGTACGGTGATCGCAGTTTATTTTAACCCGATATTCGAAACTCAGTAAATGGGATTTAATGCAAATACGACTCGTCAAAATGGCGGGAGCTTACAGTAAACCTTTTAATATTAGTCTATTTTGGTATTATATAAAACAAATAACGAATGTTTTTATTCGTGCAATGGTAAAAATATTTTCATTCGGTGAAAGATGGAATGTTCCATTCAACTCGGCTATCGCCTCGTTGAATGGAACATTCCATCTTTCACCTCATGAAAATATTCTTACCATTGCACTCATAAACATTCATTATTTGTATACTGTATAACGCCACCGCATTGCATGAAACATGCAAGCTTCGTTGGGAAGTCAGTACAGGTATATAGCATGATCGGCAAAATTACACGTGTTTGCATACTAGTGAATATAAAAGCGATCACGTGACAAAAGATAAGCCAATCAGATGGATTGTGTCAAAAGAAATATAAGTCGCAGAAACTATATGTAAGAAAGTGTTTTATGGGCATAGGGTTTTATGAGCAAGGGGTTTTGCATGTGGCCATAAGTCATTGAACATGCAAGGGCTATCCACAGTAGGTTTGGAATTTTGGACATCCTCGTCTCTCACAAAAGTTTGAATTTCTAACCTTTTGCCAGGCAAATTGTATAGAATTTCCACGGTATGGATAATTTCAGGTTTTCTAGTTTATACGTCTATTATATAAATATGCTTCTAATATAAGATCATCAAACCCGTATTGAATTTTTTTTAACGAAGATTTACACTCCCGTCGATCATCATAGGATGGCAAGAGAAAATAAGAAGACAGCCGTTGAAGAACAAGCTTAGCTTAGTAGTCACCAATACATAAAATATATAATGAACTCCAATTATCCAATTTCGTCGTTCAAAATAATAGGCATGGTTGACGGACGTGGCGTGTCAACAGAATATAAAATCGAGAATTCTACTGACTTGAACGGAAGCAGACGAGAGGTAATAGCATTTAAAAGTTCGTGTACTTTTAAGAAGTGTCTAACCTGAGCCGTTTCACGCAATACAGGAACTGTAATCTTTAATTTTGTTCTTTTGCTAGAAAATTCAGTGTTGATTGATAACGTTGATTTTGCAAATTCACTTGCCTGAAAAAAGATAAAACAATGTATAAGAAAATTTTTTATGTACTGCAAAATAAAACCTGGTTAGAAAAGGTACAGTCTTGTTCCAAAAAGTGCGCCTTTTAAAAGGGGGAGTGGAATTTCCGAAGGGCTTAACATGTTTTTTCAATATACCTATTCCTTACAATTTCAATATTATCTTACATATTTCTTGCTTTTTAGTTTGTTTCCCTGATCTTGCCCCCCCCCCCCACGCCTTTACCCTCCCCCGATACGTGCGCGTATGGTAGTAAGGGAAGAATGGATCATCACTAATTTAACTTCCAGAATTATGTACGCACTTTACCCATTTTCATTGGTTGCAAGAAACAATAAAAATGAGGAGGAAATAATACGAATATGACCTCTTGCTGCGTGTATTAATTGTCAACGATTGTAACTCACCTCAGATGAAAGTAAAAGCTTTACATCAACCAATGATTTCAATGTTTTGTCCAGTTCTCTAGGACTGACATTGGTTTGTGTAGAAATTTCCCTGGAAATAGGTTAAAAACTTAAAAGTGCTGAAAAAAGTATCAAGAGGACGTCTTGGGTAGTATAGGACTTGGATAGTATAGGACTTGACTATACGGCTGAATACAGGGAGAAAAAGTGTCTCATCCCAGAAAAGTAGCGTATCCAGGGTAACTATACACTCGAAAAACACTCCGGTTAAAATTCTTGGTTAAACTTCCCTATTTGGGTTAAGTTAATTATCCTGGTTAATATCATTTTAATCAATTTACTCGATTCCGATTGGTTAAAATTTGTGTCGATTAAACATTAATCGTACAGATGTTCTAATTAAAGATTAATCGTCACGAATGCGAGCTCGCGCGCAATCCGCACGCTCAGGCGAGTGCGGAAATTTAAACACCAGAAATTAGTATAATTTTAACAAAAAATTTCCTGGACATATCGTAATTTTTCTGGACATACGAAAATTTGTTAACCTTTTCCGTAATTTTCGTAAATTTTTGCTATTTTCGCTGACTAAGAAAACAATTTGCAGATAAATAAGAAAACAATTTGCCGAGTCGCAGACATTTCCGAGTCCGTAATGAATGGGGGTGGGGGTGTTACATCCCTACACCCACTTCTAGCTATGCCTCTGTCTACACACTGCTAAAGCCATTTATTTGTGTTTGGTGGAACGGCAACTTCGTTTAGTACGAAAATTCGCTCGTCTGTGACCGGAACGAAACGGGAAGCCATTTTTTGTCCGGAGGCAGAGGAGGTTGGAAGCCCTTCCCGGCATGCATTGTAACTCATTCATATTATCGGTTTCCCGGGACGCGCCGTCATTGTTCGACTGGCTCTCGTTGTGTTCACTACTCAATTTACAAGGAGCGGTATTGAAAAGTACAAATTGAAAATTGTAAATCATGGCGAATTTTCGTACTGTTCGTGGCAACAAAGCTACTGATTTGGATGGACGTGACAATCTTTATGTACATTGTGTGTCGAAAGAGCGACTGGAGCTGCTTCGTGAAGGGATGTCGA